CCAGCCGGGCCTCCCGTCGTGCCTGGTTCTGCCACCCCCATGGAAACGGGAATCGCCGAGACTCCGGAGGGACGACGGACCAGCCGGCGCAAGCGGGCGAAGGTGAGGCCCGACCCCTCCCTCCAACCACACCTCCCAGTGCCTCGCTTTCCCGAGGTCGTCCCGCCCCCACCGGGCCCCCGACCTTTCTGTCCCCCGCCCACCCAGCTCTCCCGGTCGGCCCATCTCCACCCGCCTCCCCAGGAGCTGGGTGAGGGAGGGAAGGTCGCTGCCCGTGGTGATGCGGTCTTTGTGCTGGGACCCGGCCCTCCTGGGAGACAGGGACTGATGGGGGGGCTCGTTCACTCGTTACAGTCGTGCACCTTTTCATTTTCCCGAGTGGGAAACATGGCTCCCTGACGTGGAGTTGTGGCTGGCGTTGTTGGAGACTCACGTCGCTCGTTTGCCCCCAGATGTGCCTTTCAGCTGGGAGCCCTGGGGCTGTGGGTGATGGATGCTAAGGACGTGCCGTAGCCAGAGAGACCGAAGAGAAAGGAACCTCTTTTTCGTTCCCTGGATGTGTTGGTGTGTGATAGTTTTTCTCTTGTTCTTTTTATTCTCTCAGTGATCTTTTGGCGTAGATCCTTTTTTTTTTTTTTTTTAACAGATGAAGCTGATTAAGAGGGCTAATATCAATCAGTCTAGGACTCTAGGTTCAAAAGTATGGGAAGGAAAAGATTTGCCACAGACTAGTATATGCAGACAATAGCAGCCTCGCGTCTCCGGGTGCCAGAAGCCGTGTTCAGAGCCTCATTAACGTTTTATTTTTTGCTGAACACCAAGGGGCAGGTATGGCCAGCTTCATTTTAGGAATGAGTAAATTGAGGCACACAGTTTAAGCGACTGGCCCAAAGTCACACAGCTGCTGAGTAAGTGGTGGAACCGGAATGTAAAGCCCTACACTTTGGTATGTGGTGATAAGGTCTCATCAGCCTCTGAAACAAAAGACCACATGGGATACCTCCAGTGTATGGGGCACTGGGGCAGTACTAGAGCACAGACTATATCTATTTATTTGTTTTTAATTCTTATTGAATTTATTGGGATGGCATTGGTTAATAAATTATATAGGTTTCAGGTGGACAGTTCCATAATACATCATCTGTGTATTGTATTGTGTATTCACCACTCCAAGTGCACAGACTTTAGACTTGGGCCTTTATTGGAGATTTCATGGTTCAGTTGAAAAAAACTAGAAATATTTGTACATATAATTTTTAAGTAAATATTTAAAATCATACAATTCATATAATTTGTGCATACAAGTTTCCCATCTGTATACGATTTTTAAGTGGGTGTACCAAGTCTGTGTATGAGGAACTTCTCTGTGTGTGTCTTACAGAACATTATTGTCTCTCAGTTCTGGATTCTGGAAGTATGAAATCGAGGTATCTGGAGGGTTGGTTTTTTTTTCTTAGGGCTGTGAGACTCTCCTTCTACCTTCTGATAGCCTCAATATGAGGAGCCTCCTAAGATGAGCTATCAGATTGCGCTGCCCACTTCAGAGCTCTCTCTCTCCAGGAATACCTTGTGCTAAGTAAAAGGAGGAAAATATTTTCGGGGGCTTTTACCAAAGCATGGGTTAGAAAAGCACAGAGGGCCGGCCCGGCTGCTGTGCCTCAGTGGTTGAGTGTCCACCTATGAACCAGGAGGTCACAGTTCCATTCCCAGGCAGGGGGCGTGTAGGAGGCAACAGATCCAAGATTCTTTCTCATCATTGATGTTTCTCTCTCTCCCCCCACCCCTCCCTTCCTCTCTGAAATCAATAAAAACATTTTAACGAAAAATGAAAAGAAAGAGCACAGAGGTTGTGACTCTCAGAAATGAAATAGAGGACGGAAGCCTAATAGGGTTTTAATTTTACTATTTCAATGGAAAGTGTGACCAGCAACCCATGTGATAAGATGGGGTTTTTTGTTTGTTTTTTCTTTTAGAAGTAGATATTTTTAAAAATGTGTTTCTTTTGGTTGGTTTTTTTTTTTTGAGAAAATTCACATACCATAGAATTTACCATTTTTAAGTGTACTACTCATTGGTTTTTAGCATAATCAAAGGTGTGCAATCAGCACCACAGTTAATTTTAGGACATTTTCATCACCCCTAAAAGACCCTGTACCATTAGCAGTCAATCCCCATTTCCCCCTTCCCCAGCTCCTGATAACCACTAATCTACTTTCAGTCTCTGTGGACTTGCCTATTCTGGATATGTCATATAAACGAAATCATATAATATGTGGCCTTTTGTGTCTGGTTTTAGCATGTTTTCAAGGTTTATCCATGTTGTAGTAGTACTTCCATTCAGTACTTGATAACTCTGTGGCCAAATAATATCCCACATTTTGTTTATCTATTCATCATTTGATGGACACTTGGGTTGTTTCCACTTTTTTGCATTGAGTTGATAGAGTAATTTGGGTTAACGAGCTCCTTAACGAGCTCGGTCTCCGAAGGAATTAAACTCGTAAGTCAAGGCCCCACTGTACTGCTATTTGCGTCTTGCTAATGAAAAGAAAATTGGATTCTACTGAGTCTCCTATCTACCTACTCTAGGACTTCTGTGAGGATCAAATGAGATGAGGCAGGGGAAAATGCTTCACAAACATTTGGTTAAACTGTAAAATGTTTGCACCTGGCTAAAAAGCAAGTTGGGTTCCTAGGCTGAAGAAACTCCAAGGAGGCTAGTTGCTAGGGAAAGGAAGCCGGGAGTTACTACTTGACATCATTACCCAGCACCCACAGCAACCGTTTTTCCAGGCGGGGCTGGGCTGGGGGCCACATTTTGCACCATGGGGTCTTGGCAGCATTGGCTGAGATTTGGTGGTGTGTTGCTCTGGGGTGGTGGCGGGGCCTGTGTCCCACTTGGGGGAAGCCGAGTGTTGGTTTGTCAGCGCCAGGTCGGTGGGGCCGTTTATTTTTAAATGGCCGGTGTGCGTCATGGCAGCTCCTCCATTGAGCGTCTGCCCCCTGGTGGTCAGTGCGCATCATAGTGACCGGTCGGACAGACGGACACTTAGCCTTTTATATATATAGATATGTTTTCAGTTCTCTTGAGTATATACCTAAGAGTGGTATTGCTGGTATCTCTTGGTTTAACTTTTTGAGGAATTGTCAAACAGTTTTCCACAGCAGCCACACCATTTAAATTTCTACCAGTTGTATATGAGGGTTCCAATTTTTCCACATCCTTGTTGACACTTAATGCTGCCTGGTTATTATAGACTAGAGGCCCCGGTGCACGACATTCGTGCACTGGAGGGGAGGTCCCTTAGCCTGGCCTGCGCCCTTTCGCAGTCCAGGACCCCTTAGGGGATGTCCTTAGCGCTTCCGCAGAGGCTGGAGAGGCTCCTGCCACCGCCGGGGCTTCTGGCTGAGTGGCACTACCCCTGTGGGAGCGCACTGACCACCTGGGGGCAGCTCCTGCTTTGAGCGTCTGCCCCCTAGTGGTCAGTGTGCATCATAGCAACCAGTTGTTTCACTGTTCGGTCTATTTGCATATTAGCCTTTTATTATTTAGGATAATAATAATGGATGTGAAGTGGTATCATTGTGGTTTTGATATATAGTATTACCCTAATGATGTTGAGCATCTTTTCTTGTGCTTATTGGCCATGTATATATCTTCTTTGGTGAAATGTCTATTCTCATCTTTGGTTCATTTTTAAATTGAGTTGTTTTTTATTGTTGAGTAGAGTTCTTTATGGTGATTATAAAAGTTTTAAATTTTGATATCCAATTTATCTCTCTTGACACTTTTGCTTCTGGTGTTATATCTAAGCAAATATTTCCTAATCCTACATAATGATTTACTCCTGTGTTTTCTTCTGAGAGTTTTATAGTTTTAACTCTTGCATTTAGGTCTGTGATCATTTTGGAAATAATTTTTTTAATATGGTCTGAGGTATGGGTTCAGTTTTATTCTTTTGCATGTGGATATCCAGCACAATTTGTTGAAGACTAGTCTCTCCCCCTTTGAATAGTTGGCATTGACTGACCATAAATGTAAGGGTTTGTTTCTGAACTCTCAGTTCTCTCCTACTGATCTATAAAGTATTGTTTTGTTTGTTTGTTTTGTTTTAGTAATTCTTTATTGTTGAAAGTATTACATATGTCCCCTTTTTCCCCACCATTAACCCCCTCCAGCCACCCTCCTGCCCCACCCCCACCCTGCCCCAGGCCTTCAGCACCCCATTGTCTGTGTCCATATGCATACAAGGTCTTTGGTTGATTATCTCCCACCCACACACCCTCCCCCACCTTCCCTCTGAGTTTTTGCACTCTGTTCCCTGCTTCCATGTCTCTGAATCCACTCCGTTCATCTGTTTATTTTGTTCATTAGATTCCACATATGAGTGAGAGCATGTGATACTTGTCTTTCTCTGATACTCTCTCCATGTCCCTCAATGCTGTCTCAAATGGTAACAGATTCTTCTTATTTTACTGCTGCATAGTATTCCATGTTATAAATGTACCACAGCTTTTTTATCCACTTATCTACAGACTAGGAGCCCAGTGCGCACGGCTTGCCCACCCACCCGCCACCCTGCCTTGACACCCAAACCTCTCCACGTAGAGCTCCAGCGCGCCTGGCCCAGCCCCCTGACCCTCTGGCCTTCTCTGGCCACTTCAAGCCCCAACCTCAGTCCCTTGAGTTGCCTCGTGCTGGTCCCACCTTCTCCAGACTCCTCCCTACTTCCGCCCCGTCTCTGGAGCAACGCAGGGGCTCTGCCCCGTCATGGCGCCTGAGCAGAGTGTGGAAACCTCCCGCCTGCTGCTCTGTGCTCCTTCCCCAGGCAGGTGAGCGGCGGGGTGCTCTGAGTGCGAGAGGTGGGTGGTGAAGGACTGGTGAGGGGGGCGCTACGGGCGCTCATTCCCCGCCCTCCTGGGCACGGGCCTCCTCCGGGCGCCTCCCCACTTCCAACCCATCTCCAGGAGCAATGCCCCACCACACATGCACAGGCAGCCTCCTCCTTAGCGGTCATGACTGTGACACCATTAGGTCCAATTAGCATATTACCTCTTTATATATATAGATGAGCACTTGGGTTGTTTCCAGATCTTAGCTA